TTTGAAAAATGCTACCAAAACACACATTTTTCAATGGCAGGATCAAAATGGTTGTCTTCCAAAACAAATAAATAAATACACAAGAACGGGAAAAGACATTACATGAGAAGTCGCCAACAGGAAAATGTCCAGACAAAGAGTTAATCTCTGACAAGAGTCAGTTACACTCTGACAGAGAGGAAGAGAACGCCGGCGGTGACAAGCACCTCAGGAGGTGATTGCTACCATCTGTGGGAGAGAGTCAGTGTGGGCCTGGGAGAGCAGGGTGGGCACACACTGAAGCTTCACTAGTTTGCTTTGGCACTGGGATAGAAAAACTACATCACACCACCGGATTACATGGCTCTCACTCCCGCACATCGATGCATGTACATACACAAAGAGACCTGATGGCTATTGGCCAAAGAGCATTTTTAATACATCCACCATTTTTAATCTTACCAACAATAATACTGTGTTTCGACACTCTAGTGTCCTGGACATTTATATGTATGGGAGGATTCCAAGAGTGACAAATGCCTCCATCACTGACCCAACTCTACTGTCTCACAGGTCCTGATCCAAATCCTTAAAACACAAACAAAAAACAAAGCGATTTCAAACGAGGTCTGTCAGCCTCAATATGATTCAGCCCTCTTGTGACACACCCAATACCTAAAAGGTTTAACTCTTTCTCCCTTTTCTTTGTATTGCGTTTCTCTTTGTTATGATGTAAAGGCACTGGATGTTTCTTTCACCAAGCAACCCCCGTCAACATAAACAGAAAGCGTGCATACACATGTATACACAAACATTTCCTGCTCATTTCAGACACACTGAAAGTAACCGAGGGCTGATTCCCTGTTGGCAGACAGGTGTCTGAGGTGGGAGAGGAAAGTCTCGCAGTGAGAGAGGGAAAATAATGTGCGCATGTTACAGTATCAAGTGTGGCATTGTCTAAGCATCTCTTCATATTATAATGCCCTCTAGGGACAGATAATAGCATTTCAACTCTATATCATTATGCTGAGTGGTGCATAGTGGAATTCTTCAGGCTCTAACAATCTCTTAAGATGCTACTTTTGTTTTATTCAAAACTCAACAGAATTATTTTGTAAGGACAAGAGCAGTCAGATTCTACTCCTTCTTAATTATAAAATCTATTAAGTTATCCAAACCCTTTAACGTCAAAATGTGACATTTTGAATGTGGTATGTTTAAGAGTGAGGTATTTCTCATTTCCAAGGCCCAAAGGCCTAAAAAGCATGTCTAATGAATTTGCAGAACTTGGGCTTAACCTTCGCTTGAGATGTGGTAGTTGTAGTGGTGATGGTGGTGTGTGCGAGTGTGTGCGTGTATGGGGGCAGTCTATTTTGATTCTAAATCAGCAACAAATTACCATCTGCCCCTTGTCAGCATTTTAAAAAGTAGAGAGAGATTTTTTAAAAAGAAAAAGAGTTTGTTCTTTTGTGGACTTCAGAGTTTCCAGGTCTGGCCGGCAGATCGAGGGCTTCTTCTAAGACGTGATCCTGAGCATGCGCATATGCTCGATGCGGGATCAAAACATATGGCTGCTGGAAACCCTTATTTAATAGGGCTTGTGACTCCAGCTATAAGTTCCAACTAAAAAGTTCCAAAGGCCTGAGCCGGTCAAAAAAGCCTGCTTAAAATGCATGAACGCACTTCCCATTTCAGAACCTGTTTGTTTTGCTGGTTTGTCATCTGCTCTAAATATATTATTTTAATTCAACAGCTGTTTCATTAGTGTGGCAGACGTGATCTAATAGCATCTATTACAAAACAGCCAATAACTCAGGGGTAGTAACTGCATGTGTGCAGGTTTGCACAGGTGACGACATGATCAAAGATATAAGGAGACTTTACCCTGAACAGTTACTTGGTTGGCTGATTTGATTCTAAAACAATTTCCAATTCTTGTACAAAAACAGAACACTGTATCACTCATTTCCTCGTGGACTCACGATGTCTAATTTCCTATTCAAAATGTTCAGCACCACACCCAAACACTGCAGCAGAGTAGGAACAGGCAGCTCCCCTATAATCCACAGCTCACCTGTAGTTTTGGCAGTTTGAACAGTCTTCACATGACTTTTGAATTTCAAGCAATGAATGCGTTCCAGTGTGTCTGGTGCAACACTGGGACCAGCCCTGCCCAGGCTGGTCCATTAGGGATGGATGGTGTAAGGCCTCAAGCTCGTAGAATCCCAGAGCAGTTCTCTGGACTTCCTGTGGTTTGAGTACAAATGAGAGAGAGGAATAGAACATCTTGGTGGTACAGCCAAGCAGGGCCAAGACGACTGCAGACGCCGCCAAGAGCAGAGAGCTGCTACAGCCCCATAAATTATCATCTACTCAGGATGTCACATTGTCATTGACTCCACAAGAGGCCTCTTCATCTTCCACTGTGACATTGGCGGACTCTATTACTGCATGATAGAGTATATCACATTTCTAAATCAACATAAGTATTTACATTACAACATCGGCCATGCCAACGGAAAGCCAATACTCAGTCACAAACGGAAAATAAATAGCGCTTCTCCATCTGTTTCCTCATTCTGTCCTGTGGCTCAAACTCCAGGCAGATAAATCACATCTTTTTCCATCATGTCTACCTCAATGCAAACAGACATGCTCCTTTACGAGGCTGCCCTCCCTGACTACTTCAGCATGGATCTGTAAGCCAATGTCTTTAGGCGGGATTCATGGAGAGGGAGGCGGCAGATGGGCGTGTGCAAGCAGGGCCTCTGTCTGGAGATGAGCTCGCAAAGAGACTTGACCATAATCTTGGTGCAGGGTATATTAAACATTTAGGAGAGCTTAAGAACAATCAGAATCACCCTACTTAAACACAGTGCTCTTAAATGTATAAAATCATAGCTTAATTTGTAGCCAACAAATTAAAAACAAATAACAGCCTCATTAAAAAAAAAGAAAAGAAAGTTGACTGACTCTGTGGTGAGTGTGAATGTCTCCCCTTTGTGAATTGGTAGTTACTGACAAACCTAGTCCCAGTCAGCTTAGCTTTTACCACAGCACAAAGGATCATGACCCCTCACACTCTCCCTCCAACACAAACACCCCAAGGACCTTGGGGGGGGGGGATTCCTCGCCTCTATAACTTGCCACTCTAACACACTTTTCCTGCATAAATACCCAAACTCCCTTCCACAGTGGCATGCCTGAGGGCTAATATGGAACCCCTCGTTTGGGTTCTGTGTCAGGAAGAAAAACAATTTTAGAAAAAAAATCAAAGTGCCTGGTCCTGTCTCCAAAACAGTGTATGCCATAGAGTCTTTATAAGGCTACCCTGGTACTTGAAGACATTTTGAATACGGCTTTAAAGAGTCAACTGTAAAAAGGCTTTTGGAACATGAAATTGGGGACAGATGGGACTGACTTTTTGGCTTGTTCAACTGTATGATCAGGTATGGCGTGCAGCTAGCAACAAGCATTTACTACACTGCATCAACACTGGGATTAGGTCATTTAAATTGGCCTGCACTGCCAGGTTGTTTAGTTCAGAAATTTGGGATGGAAGTGATATATTAATCCCGCAGAGAAGGATTTATGGAAAGCGGGTGTAACACTCCACGATCAGCTATAGAGACATTGGAAAGAAGAGAATTGCTTAAGCATGAGGGACAAAACGCTGCGGGATTGCCAGGATAGTGTTGTAGAGGTGTAGCTGAATGTGTTTGTTTGCATGTATCTGTGGGCTGAGTAAGTGCGGGTTTCAAAGATGCATCAGAAGTCTAGGTTACATAAAACCTTGTGAGGAAAGGAAGCATTTCTTGGCAATTCAAATGCTCGAATAGCCTCACTCCTTTGGCTCTTTCACTCTTGGTCCCATTCAAACAGATCTGGCACTGTTCAGTGCTAAATATGATCTCAGGCCAGCTCGCCGGGCAATTACAACATGTTAGGAAAATATAGACTGTTTTAAAATCCTGTTCTAGTGTGTTTTTCTCTCTGGCTGTAATTTTATTTCATTACGGGGAAAGGTTAGAATGAGGCCAGCAGTCTCAAATGTGGTTTTATTTTCCAGGGTTAACAAATTTCTATGACAAGATAAATTGACCTGAATCATGTTCAGCCTATGTCTATTTATACTAACAGTAAAAATGGCTACAGATGCATCAACATAATAAGAAAAGAAAAGACTAATATGTATAAAAATGTTTGCAAACTCATTAAGTTGATATGTGTACAGAAATCAAAAACCTCACAGAAGACCAAAATCCACAACAAAGATAATCCGTTTACAAAAATAGCTACAGAAATGGTTACAGGAATTATTTTTTTAGGCATGCTATTAGAACAAGTCTGGATTACTTTTACTGAGCATGTCTTGAGGTAAAGGTAAACACTGCCAAATAACATTCTTGGATGACTTGGCTGCTGCTGTGTGCCAATGACTCAAGATGTTGTCATTCGTTGTTTAGACTTGCTTGTGCAAAAGATTTTTTTCACAATACAGAAAGCAAGATTCTGTTGAGACCAGTAGTTGCTGAACAGTAAATACAAGTTGAAGGCAGCGTGTAGGCATGTGCTTTCAGAGGTACTCCTAAAGTTGCCTGCTAAATCACTGCTTGGTTCCACTACACCTGAATAAACAACACTAATCGGTATATTCTGGCAACACTATTAATTCCCTTTATGTCAGTCAAACAAGGATCTTCCTTCTTAATACACTTCGTTTTACTGCCTAATTTTCCCCTTTCCCTTTCTATTTGCATTTGAATTTTTTTTAGTTACTTGGCCAGATGACTGCCCTTCACGTCCTGAAAATTGGTAGTAAAATGGCCAAGTATGAAAAAGATCCAAACTCTTCTGCAAATATTTTATATTTTGCTTGACACTCTTAGCTGCGGTGTCTGTTAATGAAAAAGAATGTTTTACACATTATTTTTGCAAAAGAAAACTGAAAGAAATGTCATGAAAGTTTGAATTCAAGATGTTAAAAAAGCACGTAAATAGCAACAGAAAGAAAAACTTACGCAAACACTCGTTGGCCTCACGAGCGTTGGCCCTCTGCCACGGTCGGTCGTAGTGAAAGGGCTTGCAGCGGTCACATTCGGGCCCTTCTGTGTTGTGTTTGCAGTCGCACACCAGTTTGCCTTCCTTGTCTTTTAGACAGCGTGAAGCATGACCATTGCATTTACACCTCCCGCCCACCTGGAAGTCTCCTGCTGCATAGAAATATGTTGGCAGGGTGGATGTTATTGCCATGGGGTCATCATCCCTCCCTCCACTGTTGCTCCCGGCCCCCAGCGCAAACTCCCGAGGGAGCTGGGGCCGGCTGAAGACCACACGGATATCTGTAACAGTCACCCAGTCCTGGAGGACCGGGCTGTTGTCAAAGTCTTTTCCAGAGGGTCGTCCATCCAAAGTGCTGAAAGCAATGAGTCCTCCAGAAAGTGGGTAGAGGTCAGTGTGGCCATCTGTGCAAAGAGCCTCTTGCTCGTTCTGTTTGGTAATGGTGGCTTTGTTCGGCCTGTTGTACATACGCCGGCACTGTGAGGAGTAGAACTGGTAGGGCATCCAGGTTTTGCCGTAGTCCATGCTTTTGTAAATGGCCAGGGACTCGGGTCTTGGTGAGCAGAACTGCAGGCTGACATAGGTGATCTCAAACTTTTTACCCAGAGAAAGGGTGAGAGTCACATTGTGCGGCGAGGTGTTCAGATTTTCTGACTGCCAGCAGGTCAGGTTGTGGGCTGAGTTGAGGTCGGTGAGGTAAGAGGCTGGGTGGGCTCGGCGGGGGTCAGCGGCGTCACAGATCTGGCACGCACGTACAGAGGGCCGTTCGTCACCGCGCTCCACCACGCTGCACGAGCGGGACGGGGGTCGGCCACACACACTAGACACCGTCACCTCCTTGCCAAACGCGGCATTGATGAACTCGGGGATGCAGCGGCGGGCTGCGCCTGCATCATCATAGCAAGGATCCGAAGAGGTCTGCTGGCCTGCGAAGGGGTTGGTGGCACTGTGGCTGAAGGCTGAGCTTACCAGAAGAAACAGGCCCAGCAGGGATCTCCAGGGTTCCCTCATCCTGCTCAAAAGGCCAGCGTCCGAATGTCGGTCTGTACTTCTGCCCAGAAGAAGTCTGGGTGCAAGAACTAGTGTGTGTGTGTTGCAGTGGATTTGTGTATGCGTCTAACTTTCTCCTGTGGGTACGACTGTGTGTCAGTGGAAGGAGAGCGTCTTAGCTCAGTGACCCTGCACTTCAGACTGACCACTCTTTCCTGTAAGAGAGAGAAAAACACAGAGAGGTCTATGTTAGACATGTTTTTGCCATAACAGGATCTAAGATCAAAAGTGACACTGATCTATTGCATAAAAACAAGTCTTATAATCTAGTTAAATTTGACCTTATAAAGGAAATGAAGTAGGATCTTTGTAGGCTACGACTCAAAGTGAATGTTTTCACTGAGCCTGTCAAAAGGACCTGACAGCTAGACGAGGGGCCCAAGAAAAAGGATGTGACCATTTAAAGAGAGACATTAGTGACTGGAAGTAACTGCATCCTGAATTTCAATGCCGTCCTCTGATTCAATACTTCCATTCAGGTCAAAACTGGCCAAGCCTTCTGGTCTTGCTTGAAAAGCATGGCAGAAGTCACCCCATAATCACCGCTGGTGTTGCACAGTGGTGAACCGTGTGTGACCCTGGTTTAATCTTTGTTCAAAGAGCTAGTTCAGAAAAAATAGAAATGAAAGAAAACGGCTGTTACTGTCCTTTCTTGTAAAAAAAAATATATATATTACAGCACATCAACCATCAAAACACTGTCAACGTACAATAGAATGTTCTGCATTACTTTGGTCACAGTATCACCAAACCCACCAACAGTGGGAGCATTTTGAGCATTATTTGCCATATATGAAGAACTTGATATAAGACTCTATCCAAGCCTTTCAAATCTCTTAGTCTAGATAGGTACCTGGAATTGTATCATTCATACGCTCACAGCCAGACAAGAGGCCACTTGGTCCCAAGAAGAGAAAAGACAGAGTTTAAAGCCTTGGAGCAAAGAAAGAAACAGAAAGATGTATATTGCCAGAGGCTTTTCCTTTCTTAATCCCCTTTACATCCCTGGGTGTCAAATCTAGATGAGCCCCATTTCCCTACAGCTAAGGGGTTAAGAAGGCACCCCAATCCTCTTTACGAGGTATTTATTAAATTACAATGAGTGACACCCACCTCCTCCTACCCTTGCATTCCCTTCTAAGCTACAGCATCCCTCTTCATCTCGGTAGAACAAAAGGTTCCCTCTGTATCCACTTCAGTCAAGAGGGTAAAGCAGATGGACGGCTTTAAGGCAAGTCGGGAGAAAAAAAAGTTTTGTTCTTTCCTTGTGTGAAAAGTCCCCAGCCAGCAAAGCTAAAATAAAGAACCAAGTGGCTAGTTAAATAGGAGCACTCTTCTGTGCTCAAGTGCTTAAGCCTAGCCATTTGTTCATTCTTAAGCACAGACGGGGTGTTAAAGGAAAAAAGTGTGAGGGAATCACACAGAGCAGAGAGTCAGTATAGAGGAACAAATACAACTGCATCCCACTACAGAAGCCGTTTGCTTTGCAAGCACTTATTCTAATATTTTATTAGATGTCCTTTGCCTTACTAGGTTTAGTCGGTATATCAATCAATTAACAATGGAGGTCTGAAGCTCAAGAGGATTCCAAGTCCGAGAGAATTATTGATAAAACAGACATCTAATTAGTTCTGATTTTCATTGGGATTTGTGATACGGAAATTATCCTATCTCAATGTCAGCCTTGGCCTCAATGATTTTTCCCTATAAATTAAGTAATGGAATTACACTTTAGGATGAACATTAAGATCTGTGGTGCGGTTTTAAACTCGACGTGGGGAATTATTACCAAACACATGGTTGGACATATAAATATATATTCTTTGCCTTATACTTTACTTGCACAAGATAGGGCAAGTACTGCCAAAATCACTTTGAGGTATTTAGAGCTAATTCAATTAAAATGTAATTGATATCAAACCCATAACCAAGGCTTTTAATTTCCTTATTCATTAAAAGAATAGTGTTAATTATAAATGAGAGCATCCGAGTAGGAATTCATAGCCAAAAACACAAGTATCTAAAGATGAGAAAGGCTATAAAGAGTTATGCGAGAGATCATGCTGAGACATGTAAAGTGTTTGATCAATGAAATGTGTCGGGCGAGGAGGTTAAAGTGGGCACACAGATGGGAGCCAAGGCACTCTATCAAATGACTGAGCCTGCTGGCCTGACACCCACTGGGTAGGTCATGGAGAAATGGCTGATGGAATTAGCAACTCATTAGCTTCCATGTGCAGCCACCACCAACAGCATGTCCACATGAGTACATTTATGGTGAGAGCATTCAGAGATGAAGGATAAAAAACAAGGTGGAATGGAGCAGAACGAAAACATTACTCATGCTTGTGATCTGCTGCACATGTTGTTGAGAACATTAAAAAAAAGTTTGAAACAAATAGGAAAAATATTAACAGATCAGAGAAAAAGGAATGACACGTGAGGAGGAAAGAAACAGTAAGGGGCTCGACAGTGATAAAGCTGAAATGACTTGAGGGAGGGAGAGCGAGGACAGAGACAAATTGGAACAGTAGGGGAGAGAGAGCGAGGGAGAAAGTGACAGAGATAGAGGGGGCTACGGGAAGGACATACAAAATGATAGAAGGAGAAACAGAAGGGAGACAGATTAAGGTAGACGGCAGCACTGGTCTGTGTCGGGACTTAAAATTACTAAATATGGTGTGGTCATTGCTACTTAGCTTGCAGGGATACTCTTCCAGGCTCTGGTGCTGTGAGGCGAATCTGGCAGATGAGTATGTAGGTTAAACAGAAAGAGAACAGCGACAGGGCCGGGTAATTGTGCACAGTCCACTCTCTAAAATAGATGTTAGACTTGCAGTAAGTGTAAAAAAAAGAGGGGAAAAAAGCTGTTCTACATTATAAATGTAAAATTCTCTCCACAGCTCTATAAAACCTACAAGATGTGAGCCAGTTCCACTATTTATTTCATGAATCTCAAAGCTGTGCCAAGATGTCAGCATCACAATCTAACTGGTTTAACCTTAAAACACTAAAAGAAGAAAAAATCTGTTTCAGCAAAAATATTGTAAGCTATCGGCATTCACAGTATGTTTAACAAGCCACAAGTTCCCCACAGTGAGGGAAGAAATTGTCTTTCATTAAATGTGGTTCAAGTAGCAACAGCTGTGGACCAGTGTCTCTCCAAGGAAGATGATGAATACCACATACCACATAGCTTGCAACATTTATTGTTCCAGTACACATTAAAGCAAAAGCCTGGTCCTTCCCAACAGTTAAATGAAAAGATCAATACCACTCTCGTGTTCATAAGTTAAACATGAATCAACAGCCAGTAATATGATCCAGACCTAGATAATTAATTTGATTGACTGCAAATACATGTTAAATAGTACAGTTAGATAGGCTAATTTTTTTTCTGGGTAATTAGGGAATTAGTATTACTGGATGTAGTTATATCTTGTACAGTCTTTTAATTCTTGCTTCTGGTGGTTGTGAAGAGAACCCATCGTCATTAATGGCTCCTCTCTGAAACCAGCAAGATCAGATGAATAAACACTTTGCCTGGAGACCTTGTTTTTCTGTTTAATTGGATGTTATTAGAAGTCTCCTGGAAGTAATTTAAACCATAACAAAGAAATAAAATAAAATGAAAATGTCATAAATTCCTGTGAAACAAAAACTTGAGAGCAGAGAGTTGCTGTTTAGTTTGACAGGTCCTTACTGACAACGAGCAATTTAGCAATAATGGATCTGGGCTCTGTTTGTTTTCACACTGATCGGATATCTGCTTCTCTTTTTTTTTTATAGTTGCACTTTCCCGTGGCTGCACAATTCGACATGACACAAGCTGGCAGGATTTTTTGTTCCGTTTTGGCCAGACATCAATCCCTGCCTTTACGCCAAACGCTTCCTTTTTCCTCACACACTTATGACGTCCCTACCCCACTGCTGCCATCTGCATGCCCACCAGATCAACACGAAGGTCGACTGTCAGATGATTTAAAAGCTTGCTGCAACAACCTCATTTAACAGTTCACAAATTTTACAAACCATGTCACTTATTGCAGCTCTATCCTGGATATAACCGGCCTACAAACATTCTACCTCCTCATACAACCTTTTGGAGTTAAACCAAATTAACTCCTTTTGGAGTTAATTTAATTACATTTACATGAATTTGCTAACAGGCTACAGTCCCCAGCAACTAACCTGCAACACTGTTTGAAAAACGAGTGATAAAGGAAAAATATGTGAGGGAGGAAAAAAAAATATGGGGAAGTCCCTCACATAAAAAAATGGTTTTCCACGAAGACCACACAGCTTATTTGGCTGCTGAAGCAATGCTTTTAATCAACCAGTGACGGACCAATTAGGTAGGCAGATTCGGGAGGGAGATGGAAGGGATATTAGATTAAAAAAAATTTGCTGTGTGAGTAATAGATTAATCAATTCAGTAAGGCAGGAAGACGGAGTCAGAGAAAGAGGGGGACAGGAAGATGACAGGGTGGTCTGGTGGTTTCAGCAGAGACATTCCAGGGAACGTTTTTTCAGCTTCTCCCTGTCACCGGGAGATCATCCCATGTTGAGTTGTCTCTCTTTCAAGCGTGGGTGCCTCTGTCAGAGTTCACAGATTAGGAAAACAGAAGTCGCTGAGAGGCTTTATTTGGCTTGGGTGTAGAGAAGGACGCCAGGGGGAGGTGAGGATGGGCTTGAGACAGCTGAGCCACTTTGTATCCCAAGTGGGAGTCTTTTGCTCGGGTCTTGAGAGCTGGCGAGGTGGACGCACTCTGTACTGGGAGTGAATGGGGATCTTAGGGGTTTCCCCATCTCAGATAGCAGAAAGCCAGGGTCAGACACCCTGCTAACCCTGTGGCTGGCTCAACAGTTACTCCAGGAGCGTTTATTGCTGACTTCCCTGAGCCAAAAGGCATTTTTAGTGGACCAAAATGTAAGAAGAAAACTGTCATTCCTACTATTGT